AACAATAATACATATAATCTATAATAACAATATTACTAATATCACACACAAAATCATAGAGGATTTTCTCAAAAAGAATGAAGCAGTACATGAACAGAGAACTACCAGAAATACAACCTGGGTTTAGATGAGGCTGTGACATTAGAGACGTCATAGCCAATGTCAGAGGGATCTTGGCTGAAAGCAGAGTACCAGAGGAATGTTTCATTGACTATGCAAAGACATTTTGATTGTGTGGATCACAGCAAATTGTGGCTGACTTTAAGGAGAAGAGAAAAACACTTGATAGTGCTTATGTGAAACCTATACTTGGACCAGGAAGCAGTCCTCAGAACAGCAAGGAAACACTGCATGGTTCAAAATCGTTAAAGGAGTGAGTTAAGGATGCATCCTTTCTCCATAACTTTTCAGTCTATATGCAGATCACTAGGGAGGCTGGGCTTTGAGAAGGAATATAGCATCAGGATTGGAGAGTCATCAACAACCTACATTATGCAGAGGACACACATGAGGTGTTTGCTGCAGAAGATGAAGGACTGTAGTCTTCAATATGGATTTCAACATCAAGAAAACAAAGATTCTTACCACTGGGCTAATTGGCAGCACCATGATGGATGGAGAAGATACTGAGGTGAACAATTACAGCTTGTTTGGCTCAAATATCAACACTCTTGACACTAGCCGTCAGGAAATCAAAAGATGAATTGCACAGGGAAAATCTGCTGTCAAGGATCTCTCCAAAGTACTGAGAAGCAACAATGTCAGTCTAGAGATTAAGGTGCGCCTTATCTAGGTCATGGTCTTTGCTATTACTTGCTATGGACCAGAGAGCTAAACAAGGATTAAGTATGACAGAATTGAGGCTTGAATTGTGGTACTGGAAAAGAGTATTAAACATACCATGGACCAACAAGAAAAGAAGTCAGTTTTGGAAAGGGTGAAACCACATTTGTCCTTGAATAGGCTTTTGAAACTCCCTATTACATACTTTGGGAACGTGGCTAGGAGGGGGTGGTCCTTGGAGAAGGACATCATGCTCCAGAGGGTGGAGGGACAGCCCAGGAGAAGAGGACCCCGTATGAGATAGATTGATACAGTTATTGGGGAGATGGGGATAGGTGTATTGGAGTCAGTGAGACTGGTTCAGGACAGGGCAGGCTTCAGAGCTGTTGTTGAGTCACAGGTGACTTGACAGCACATAGCATTACCAAGTGATTTCTAACTTAAAAATTTTAAGTTTTAAATTCATGGAGTTAAAAGAAATTATATGGTAACATGAAAAGCATCAGGCTACTTCATTCTGTTGACCACTTCATCCATCAGTGAAGGCTGAAGCAGTAGAAGTGTCAGAATCAACTGGGAATTAAGCAAGTCTGCAGTTCTCTAAGGCAGGTTTTGTTTTTGTTGTTATGTGCCGTCGAGTCGTTTGCGACCCTATGTACAACAGCCCTAAACTGTGCTCTATCCTGTGCCAATCGCATTGCCTCTGACACACCCATCCCGAGTACCCCAGTCACTGAATCAATCCACCTCATAGAGGGTCTTCCCCTCCTGTGCTGTCCCTCTACTCTACCCAGCATGATGTCCCTCTCTAAAG